CTCTCTTCTTCCCCCCACCCTTTATTTCTCTGCCTGACCTCTCTCCCTCTTCCTGTCTCTTTTCTCCTCTCCCCCTCACTCAAGATTTTGGGGTTAAAGTTTGGCTTTACCTAGTCAATTTTGAGTGACTGCATTGATCGACCCGTCTTTCTAGAAGCCATGTTGTAGCATACGCTAGAGGAGAGGCACACAATCACCCCAATTCTAAAAAGTCTTCTGTAAAATTGGTAATAAGATAAGCTAATTTGAATATTTTGAACGCAGCACCTACGGCAAGATGTTCTGCAATCTCCAGAGCATCTCCTCTGAGCTCCTACACTTGGTTACACACAGCAGACAGACTGGGTCTTCATGAAACAGGATATGACAACTTTGTCTCACTACTTCTTAATATGGTAGGATAACCCTACCCAACAAAACATCCCTGCTGACCTATTCCTAAATTCATTTATCAATTCGACACATTGAAGGTTGTCATAGGCTCCAAATTCCAGTGTGTCTTTACAATCCCTTTTTATTTTAGGTAAAAAACCTAAATTTCCAACAATTCAACCGAATAACCAAGAGCATTTTCATAATCAAAAGCAAGGAAGAAAAGCAATGCAGTAATTCAAGTACAATCATAAAGCTAATTCAGGAAGAAAGTAGGAAGTATCCTATTCGGGGGTATTTTCAGTCTGCTACCTTTCATTAGCTAAAAAAAAAAAAAAACCTTTTTTTTTTTTTTTTTTTTTTTAAGAAATAGGTATATTATAAAAGTCAATACTTCAGAAGAGGTTTTTTAATTTTCTAGAGTTTTGTGGAGGTTCTCTAGTACTTAGAGACACACAAAGAAAAACACTATCTACCTGTTCTATTAAGCTCCCCAAACTTCATCCCGAGGTGCTCTAAGGCCCAGTAATCAGAGCTGCTGAACACCCAGTTGCTCAGTAACATGAAGACAATACTGCCCAGGTGTATAAATTTTGGCATCAAAAACAAGTTTGGCCATGTCAACTGAATAAAATTCCTTCCAAATGAACACCAAAAGGTCAGACATTTTCCCTTTTGAAGTATTTCTGTTTCAGGCCAAAAGCTAGATCTCATCCATGCCAAGCAGGGAATACAAGAGCTGCTTGCACAAACAATTTATACATTGTTGTCTTGAATAAGTGGAAGACTGGCCACAGAAATACTCTAATTTTCAGAAATTTTAGAGAATCAACAAGCAGTATTTTCTCACTTCACAGCAAAAGGAGAAAGCTTTTTAATAAATTACCTCCTGTGTATTTCTGACATGACTAGGGAGGCCATTAAGCTGTGCTAGATGTAATACCTGATCCAAAGTCCAATGAAGTCAATATAATATTCTGGAAAAGGCTCAGTTACGGTCTCTTCTGATATCATTCATCAGTGTAGGCTATCCTACTTGAAGCATCAGCCAGACATGAAGTAATTCATTCATCACATTCTGCATATATATGGCATTATGCATTGGCAACAGATGTTCTATGCATGCTCTAACAGGAACTAATAATGTTGTTGAACATCAACAGTGATGAGTCCACTCAAAGCTGACACTTTCATACATTATTTGGACTTCAGTGATGGAGTATTATAGGACAACATCAGAAATAGAAGTCCATCTGCTGAGGAGACGATGGGGATTTTAAAACCAGCAAGTGTATTCTTAAAATCTTTTAAAAAATACACGGTGTTCTTCCATGATTACACTAGCACTGTTTGATTTGATTGCTATGTCACATCACACATGACCAGGGTGGGTCAGTTTTTCAAACAAACATTATAAAAATTTTAATTTTGTTATTTAAATAAGCATCTCATTGTTCCTCATCTGTAACCTCATCTGTAACTGTGCCGCTGTCAGAAAAAACATACCCAAATAGTTCTGTTCGATTAAAAAAATGGAAAACATCATGCCTTCTTAAGAAGAAAATAGAATGTATATATATGCTATTTTATAGAAATGGTAGAGTTCAATACAATTAAGTCAACATAAACACAAAATAAACTAAAAAAGATAAACCAATGCTGAACCATCCTATACTCAGACTCAGAAAAAGATGCAGAAGAATCTGAAATTTGGAGAACCTAAAAAGTCAAACCATTCCATTCTGGAAGCAGAAGAAAAAAAATGCTCAATATTATAGAGTTTAGAGAACACTTTGCAGAAGACTTGGGTTTCTTCCTCTAAGTTAATCATGGAATAGGTGATCTAGCCCTTGGAATTTCATTAACAGCTGCAATTCGACATCTGTCTGATACAGAAGTCAACAACAATATGGCCAACACCCATGCTCGTGAGCTAACATACCAACTAACACACTTCTATTAGTGTTCATGGGCATACCATGTATTTCCACAATTCCATAATTTCCACAATTATTTCTGGCTAGTTTAGGAAAACTATTCCTGTGTTCCACTGCTCTACATTCACTTATTTCTCCTCAGCCTTCCATTTCCACCTAACAAAACTACATTAGTTCCAGCAAAGGTAGTTAAAAGCCATTCCTTCCAGGCCATTCCAGGCTACAGCCTGGTATTCAACCCAGCAAATCCTTCTTATCTCCTCCAAACAAACAGATCAGCTTAAAGCTCTGGTTGAAGGTAGACTGTGATTAACTGTTTGATTTTGTACCCAAATAGTTTGCTTTAAAATGCTTCTTTCAGCTATATTTGAAAAGACGTATAACATATCACTAAGAGGCATATCACCATCCAAGTAATTACTACACACCTGACCACATCTCAGATATACAACTTTCTCCTGCATTTTATGTCCTCAGCCTCAATGTCACTCTAAGAATAATCATTCCTTAACTTTTTTTTTTTTAATATTTATAGATTTGAGCCTGCTTTTTACACCACATCTGTTATCCTACTCTATCTTTATTTGAAAAGCATAAAGCTTACACAAAAGATCGCTAGTATCAGTTAAGAAGATTTCAGGTCTTTTGTCCAGATGCTGAAATGATACAGGAGCACCTTTTTATTTGTCTTAAAAATACACTGTTTTACTGCAGTCCTTCGCATCTCGTAACTGAGATGAAATAACATTTTTTATGGAAACTGTGCAACAGTGCAATTTGAATACACAGGTCCCAAGCCATAATTGGCATTTCCAAATGGCTTTCCACAATGTTGATTTCTAAAAACTCTGAACTCTTCCCTTACGTGTTTGTTTTTGCTGAGGAGCTTTCTTGGCTTATCTTGAACTGAGACCTGTGTGTGGATCTTAACTGAAAATCCAACTGAAACGAACTTAGCTTCACTGCTTTTAGCAGAATTAAAAAAGACAAAAACAAAACCACATTTTAAAATGGTAGATAAGAATGACAGAGGGCCAGACAGTACTGAATAGGTCTTAGCATCTTTGTCTCACAAAGGTGCCTCCTTTTATCTTCATACTAAATGTATGGCACAAATATCACAAGAGGGATGCTGAATTTATAGATTGTGCCCATTGTACTGAAGATTTTTTGCAGTCAAAGCTAGAAGTATTTCCAATTCCAACAGATAAATCTGGTAAATAAGGGCAGAAATGTTAAATCAGAAACATCAAAACATTTTACATCTTTTTTTTTTTATTTAACCACATATAAGTACATGTCAACAGTTGGCATAAACCTCATAAAAATACAGTACCTTTTTGTGCTGTAACACTAGTCACAATGTTTATATAAAGATTTTTTTCTGCTTCCTTAAATTCAATTAACATTTTAAAAAGTGACTTCCTGAAAGCCCTTTTTGTGATAGTTTCCTTATAGAAATTTTTCCAAAATCTACTCTGTAAAAGTTAAAAGGCTAAATCATTTTCAGCCATTTCCCCTCACTCTCTCAATAAAACAGATTAAAAAAAAAGTTTTTGAATACTGATCGGCTTTTATAATAGTACTTTATTTTCAGTTCTCATTTAATAGTTACTGTTTTGGGTATGACAGATGCTACTTCTATAGCACCTTACACTGCTGGATGTTATCAGGGCTGAAAAAGACCAGCTGTGTCGACAGACTGGTGTCCAAACAAAAAACAAATGTGAATGATATCCAGAGGATCTCTCAACTACTACAGTCTTAGACTGCAGAATCACAATTGCTGTAATGCTTCCAATGGCTATTTATGCAAAACTTTGTTGAGTTAGTTAAATGACTACAGGGAGTCCTTGCACTGACTTATATTGACAAGAAATTCTCCAGACCCTTTATAATGTTGGTTTGACACCAGGACAACAAAAAAAAAAATAAACACCTGTAGAATCATTCTAATGTTTGTGGAATGATTACGTCCACACCACCATTTGACTACACTCATAGCACAACTCCAGTAAATTTCAGTTTTCTTTAGAGCTGAAGATCCTTCAAGCTATCTGAGAAATTAGCATTACATTACTAAAAATGAGTGAACGATGTACAATAAAATCCAGGCAGGAGGGATCTAATAGATGGGGAAAGAAAATCGGGCATAAATTTTGAAAGTCATTTCTTATCAAGTTAGGCGCTGAAGGTCTAGTTAAGGCAGTGAAGAGTTTATTTTAATATCTTCCTAAGGCTATTAGATTTTTCCTGAATAAAGCATTTTCCCTAAAAAATTTCACCTACGTTATGTCGGCTTATTCTGAATGTATAAGAATGCCAACATCCTTGAGCACTGAGAAACTGAACTATTGCTCACTGCAAATATCACCCTTGTTAGTCTTTTATTATCAATAAGGTTCAAGAAAGATGTGTCTAAAGGATAAAGTTTCAAGACTGTTTACAAACCTTTCCATTTTAAAAGCAAGCTTAAAGCATATGTTTAAGTGATCCAAAATGATCAATGTTCTTAATCCTCTCAAGGAAGAAATGTATTTCTCTCAGACAAGGCTAATGAAATTACATGACTTAAAAATAATTTCTGGAAGGTATCACATTGTCTAGAGGAGAGATGGGCAATGCTAGTGCCGTGAGAAATGCGATGCCAGATGCTATAGCACCACTCCTTTGCTCTCAGCTGATCTTGCTTTGCTAAAACATCCTGACAGTCCCATTCCACACTGGTATTGGTTTTGAGATGGAGTTTCTTTCCACAGTTACTTTCAGCTTTTTTGGATCAGTGTTAAATAAAATGTGCACACGTATAATCATTTGCATAGCAAATCTCAAGGGACTGACCCTGAAATAGAAATCCAAACTGTTAGGTTTAAGATACTTCTATAATCAGAATTCATTTAAAATGGTAAAAAATAAAATACGCATTTTTCCATTTCAAGTTTAGTAGAAAAGGTATTTCTGATTTCGAATTCTTATAGTTACTAGATTAAAAAAATTGAAAGACTGACGGTTCTTTGCACTGAGACGTTATTCCTTTGAAACCTTCAAGACTTTGTAATTGCTGTTCTCAAACACGGTGGTAAAATACGGTCTGGAATCCTGGATCATAAGGTTACATAGAGGAATTTTGCCAATATTGTCAGGATCTTCTACATCCCAAATTTCAGGCATACTGCAACCAGGCCTAGAAAACAATTGCATAGGCAAACAGAAGTTAAGAAATGCCATCAGAAAACATGCAGCTCTAAACTCAGTTGTATAAACTTTTCTATGAATATTTGGTTATGCCTTCTCTAATGTTAAGCTTGTTTCCATGCTATAAAGTCTTCTCAGATTAGAGAACCGATAATTATATTAGTAAATCCAGAAAAAGTATTTAGAATCTATAAAATTTGTCTGCTTGTAGGGTTACACAATAAAGATTAATTTCAAAGAGGCAGTATATATTAGAAAATGATTCTCAAATTATGCAACATACATTGCCAGAGCCCTTAACCCAAGAAATAAAACACTTTAAAAAAAAGTATCCTCTTGCTTTATTTATTTATTTATTTTTAAATTAAGTACATAACCAGCATCAATTTCTTGTGGGTTATATTTCAAAGTTAAAATTACTGAAAATTTCCTCATTTTGTCAAAGACAATATCTAAGAAATAGCATAGATTTATTTAATTTTATTCTAAATACATAGGAAATAATCAAGTTATCTGAATGAATAGCGTTTTAAAGCTTTTAAAGAAAAATCACAGAAAAAAGCATAGCTTTTTCTTAGGTACAGTCTAAATGGGACAAAACATTCAGGGATCTACCACATGAGAATCATGTTATGATTCTCAAATTATGTTTTATTCCGCACCTTTTAATCATATCAGAATCTCATTACACAAACACATCTGTTCTTTCTAACACAGAAAAAGAGGGATCTGAGGGGAGGTCTTATCAATGAAAAAGTATCTGAAGGGAGGGTGTAAGGAGATGGGGCCAGAATCTTCTCAGTGGTGTCCAGTAACAGGATGAGACAAAAGTACAAACAGAAATCCAGGTAGGTCCGCCTGAATGTAAGAAAACACTTCTTCAGTATGAGGGTAACAGAGCACTGGAACAGGTTACCCAGAGAGGTTGTTGAGTCTCCTTGCTTGCAGGTATTCACAAGCCATGTGGAAAGGGCCCCGGGCAACAGGCTGTAGGTGACCCTGTTTGTGCAGGGGGCTTGGACTAGGTGGTCCTCCCCAGGTCCCTTCCACCTCAACCACTCTGATTCTGTGAATTACAACTGCTTTCATTTGTGAACCCCCTCAACCACTCTGATTCTGTGAATTACAACTGCTTTCATTTGTGAACTCCCTCCATATTCTACGGTGAAGTTTAAAAATAGACAAAACACAACTTTCTAACCACAAATAAAGACTATAGTGTTATTAACATGTTACTAACATGACTTATACATTTTAGTGCCTGGAGATACTGGACTGAAGCATTTTGGACATTTTTAATAAAGCATTTCCAAACTACTGCTTTCTGTGTATGCTAGACTATGTATTTGAGTGACATGCTATTTCTGTGAGAAAACCAGAGATTTTACTCACTTGGTTCTTCTTACACACCACGACTCTTCTAGAATGTAGTAATCCACTCCCAGCTTTTTCAATTCTTTTTTTACTTCTTTTGCAGGTTTTCGACTGTACATGGAATACACTATCTTAGTTCTGGCCCTTTAAAAAAAGAAGTGTTGTAGAAGTTGGCTAACAATACTGCAAAAAAAACGTAAGCTGAAATTTTAGGCTATGTGAGAAGGTTTATTTCACAAGGTGGCTATTCTGAAAGTTTAAAATAAGAACATCATTTGCTGTGATGCAACAATTTCTTCACAAATAGACTGATTTTCAATATATACAGTCCTTTCATTTTTCTGTATCAGGAGGCAACTTTTTAACAAGATCACAAAGCGGGAGGATGTCAAACATATTCACAAGGCAGCAAGGCTACGAAGACATCAGCTCAAGCTTGCTGGATCACAAGAAGCTGTTTGCTCTGTCGCCTTTGCCAAAGATAATTCTCATGGCTCTTGTTTAGACAATACTGATATACTTAAAGAGACCAAGACCAAAAATTCATTTTGAAGTCTGTCTATGCTGAACCAAGCAAAACTGTCACTTGCAAATCACATGCTCGTTTGCATTACCCACTAATATCCTTCTGTCCCTGTGCCACACGTGACCTGGTTAATCCCCGTGCATTTTCCAATATCGTCTCCGGCTTATTTTCCCTAAACATGTTCTGTCCTATATTTTAGGCTTAACACCAGATACAGAACGAAGGGCATAAGGCTTGTAACATAGTCCTAATCACCTACTCTATTCCTCTGTATCTTGCTTTTACTAAAGAAATGTACCATGATATTAAAATAATAATAATAAAGATCTTTCCAGATAAATCTATTCTGATTAAAAAAAAATCCTGATTTTGAAAATTACAAAGAACACAACTCAGTGCTTCAAGCAGGATGTAGAATGAACTGCTAGAAGTTTTGTTACAAATTTCAATTTCAACTAGTCTTAGTACCTCCATAATTAGATATAGTAAGAAAAATGACATTCAATTGCAGAAAGGTGAAAGGAATAACCTAAGTGGCTCTCCTGAGAGGAAAAAAGAAGAAAAAAAGATCTACCTACCACATCATGGGAAACAGAATGTACAGAGGATATATTAATGCATGTTAATCCCAATTCCAGGATTACATTCGGATGTAAGTAAGTTTTAAGCTGTGCCTATCCTACAGTATATTCTGCCAGATGAACGAAAGCCTTCATATGTTTTCAATCTGACTAAATATCAAGGTTTTACTATATAACATGACGACAGTCCTACTGCACATTGCCAACATCAAGTGAGCTAACGGCTACGAAGGCCACCCCCTCTGCCTGTTGACTCACCTCAGTCCTGCATCTTCGTAATGAGGATGATTTACGATGGGCCGCAGCGCCGACAGTTTAACGCTTGCCATTGTGGGCATTGCTCCTGCAAAGACTGCATCTGCAACACAGCATGGAGAAAATGTTGGAGACGGGCATTAAAAGCAGAGCAGTGATTTTAAAGTACCTCAAATGGTGTTCCCGCAGAACAAAACAACAGAAACGTAAGGAAGGAGAGGGGGAGAAGGGCTGTTTTGAAAAGGTCTTACATGGCAATCACAGGACACACACAAAATTCACACTTAATTTTATTATTATTTTTTTCAATCAACATAAATCATTAGATAACTGAATGTCTATGAAGGGTATTTAATGCATCTTATTTTTCACTTTTGAATGGGTATTACAACATTTATTATGATAACATTTGTTTATTTGTTCCCCCCTATGCCACTGATACATAAATTTAAAAAAGGAGGTACTTCCTGCAAATTCTTACTGAATGGAAAGTATTTTCCTGCTAAAATAGAAACTTTTTTTTTCCCCCTAGCTAGTTTTATGACATTTTTATCCACTTTTATTAAAGACAAGTGCACCCACAGCACACATGGTTTGAATTCTTCTCTAGCAAAACAACGAGTTCTCAATACAGAATCAGTGGCATGTAGGTGAAAAGAATGTTTTAATTTGCTTTTGCGCAAACACTTCCGTTGTAAGAATACTACAACACTGGTTAGATCTTCCATATGGGGAGGCTGGAGGATAACAAAACAAGCATTTTGCTACTTTTTCATTTGAGAAAACTTCTCCCTGGGTGAGCACACAACTCAATAGTGATTTTTGAGCAGTCCTAAGGCAAAGCCACAGATAGAAGCAATAACTTTGCAGTCATTCTACCAGGTCTTATCACAAGAACAAGAAACATCAAACATTACTTAATAATTTACCTTGTTTGGTATTGACCTTTATCCATTCTAAAAGTTCTTCCTGTGGCAGATTGCTGAATTCTCCCATGATGTTCCATTGAGTTTGAAGGTTTGACGACCCTTCTATTGTCATAATTGCTAACATGGCAAAGACCAATACTTTGGGCTGGATTTTACTGAAGAGCCACCCAAACAACTGAAATAGAAGAATAAAATGGAAGAATGATTTTATGTTGTAATATATGTTATATTCCATACAAGGAAATCAAAAAACCAAATGCTTTTCTTATAGTGTTAAAGAACCTTCGTCTAGGAATTAATCAATTCTTCCATTTTCCGATATAGTTTGATAAGACCTCATTAGAAGTACTCATATTTACTGGATGCAGTGCATCATACTTTTTAAACTATAAAAAAAGAAAATTGATGTTAATGCAGCTTCTAAAGTTGTAGTTCAAACATCAAATTCTGCAAATAAAGACCACTCAAATGCTAGCTGCACTTATGCAGTATTTTCTTCTTATATCAAGAGTTTCTGGCTCTGGTATATGGATTAAGTAGATATTATTACACAAATATCTGAAAATATGTTAGAAAAGTAGAATTTTAAAATATAGGCTTAATATTGCTCTATATCCTATACTTCCCTCTTCTAAACTGAAAAATATTGCCCTTGCATTATTTCCTAAAGACTATATGTTGGACACTTAAAGCAAAGAGTAACAAACCTGAAAAAAGTACAAAATTTGCTGTGTTCCTGTTTGGTTTGAGCAAGGATAGTTTAACCCACCCCTATATGAACCAAACCTTAGATCATCTTAAAATATAAAATATTTTTAGCTGTCTATCAATTGGAAAGTTTTACATTTCAAAATATTAAACCTGCATTAAATAAGCATATTTAACTCAGAGTTTTAATGAAAGCATGAAATAACAAAATTTCCCAGTAAAATCTCCCATTAGTCTGATCACACAAATAAAGTAGCATGTACTGTTTTTGGTAAAAATTAACCCTAACTTAGTTTCCCAAGCCACCTCTGAAATATTGTGCACTGCATTCTTATTCTAAAAGAATT